GGTCAGAGGGAGGAGCAGACTCCCCGCTGAGCAGGGAGCCCGATGCGGGACTCGATCCCGGGACTCCGGGATCATGACCTGAGCTGAAGGCATTCGCTTAACCAACTGAGCCACCCAGGCGCCCCTCATGTATTTACCTTCTGATATTTATTCATTATTTTCATTCTTCTCCTTATTTTGAGTTTCAGTTGCTCTTCTTTTTTTTTTTTTTTGGTATTTTAAGGTATAATCACATTGCTTGGAGACCTTTCATCTTTTCTACTATACGCATTTAGTACTATAGATTTTCTCCAGTTGAAGTACTACTTTAGCTATATTCTACCATTTTGATATTTTGTGTTATTTTCGTTTAGTTCAAGATACTTTCTAATTCTCCTTTTGTATTATTTAGTTTCTAGATATTTACTCTAATACTTATCTTTTAAATCCCTCTGGCTCCGTGCTCACTTCGACAGCACATATACTAAAATTGGTACAATAAATCCCTTCTGGCTCCTTTTTAAGGTATTCTCTTTATCACTGGTTTTAAGCAATTTGATTTTGATGTGCCTTCATGTTTTTTCTTTTTGTGTTTCTTATACTTGGGGTCTGTTGACTTCTCCGGCCCATGTGTTTATACATTATTATAATCTACTTGCCTCAGTGTTGTGGGTGGTTTCACATCCACATCACATCTATTGCCTCTTACTATCACATCCTTAAGAAGAAAACATAAATCCTTAAAAATATTGAGTGCATCTCATCTACTTGTGATAAATTGTTAGTTTTTGATCATGGGTAGAGGAATCTGCCTTAAATCTTTTCAAGACACCTTCAACAGTATTGTGGTTTGCTAAAAAGTATGATGATATCCTTCTCACTTGACTTAATTAAAATTCACCCTGTGCTTTGCAGTTGAGTTATACTCTTGGGACAGAACTGATGCTTAAGATTTCTTTTTTTTTTTTTAAGATTTTATTTATTTGTTTCACAGAGAGAGAGAGCAGGAGTGGTTGGGGGGAAGCAGAGGGAGAGGGAGAAGCAGACTCCCCTACTGAGCAGGGGCCTGATGCAGGATGCTGGGATCATGACCTGAGCCAAAGGGAGACGCTTAACCGACTGAGACACCCAGGCACCCCAAGATTTAATTAAACTTTTTTTTTGTTTTGTTTAAAAATTTTTAAGGAAGGGCATAATTTAATTATATGTACTTTCCTGCTCTAGCAGTTTTAAAAAATTACATTGTCAGACATGTTTATTATACAATTCAAACAATACAGGGCATATAAAAAGTTAGTAATCTTACCCTTTACCAATTCAATTCCACATGTCTGGAGGTATCTTATGTTAACAGTTTGGTGTGTTTTCTTCTTTTCCTTTCACTGTGCTCATACATACACATATAAATATTTATGTCTATGTCTGTTTCTGTGTGTCTGTATATATATATCCGTATCTATATCCAAACACGTAGATACATGTATTCCTCATGTGGAATCATCCTATACATAACACTCAGATACTTTATATTTTTATTTTAACAATATGGGATTTTCTTCTGTTTTCCTGCTTTTAAAAATAAAGATATGGAAACTTCACAGCAAGAAAAAACTTTAAAAGCAATTTCAGAATTACGTTTTCTCTAGAGAGAACAATAAAGTTTACCTAACTTCACAGACAAGCTAGGTGCCATAAAATTATTTAATAAGAACAACATAGTCTCCAGAGTATAGGAAGAATGAAAGGCTTAGAACATAGAGTAGAAAACAATGGGGCAAAAGTCAGAGACTAAAATAAAATGCAAGAGTGGGGCAGGCAGGGCCAGAGAATGAGGGAAGTTGGGAAGCAAATAGGGGTCTTGTGGATTTTGAAATGAGCGTTATTCAATGTTTCTCTTTTACGGTATTTTATTTCTTTATATTCATTAGTTTTGGTATTAGAAAAAATACTGTTTTCAATTTTTCAACATCTCTAACCATTAGCTCTTTTATATGCACAAGTGTTATATTCCAGTTTGGAGATGAACTTCGGATGGGACAGATTTACTTTTGAAATACATGGTGATCTTTTTCTCTAGCTGTGTTAGCTGCTTCCATGATGACCCATCAGTTAAAACGCCCATCTAGGGGTGCCTGGGTGGCTCAGTCGTTGGGCGTCTGCCTTCGGCTCAGGTCATGATCCCAGCGTCGGGTTCGAGCCCCACATCGGGCTCCCTGCTCCACGGGAAGCCTGCTTCACCCTCTCCCACTCCCCCTGCTTGTGTTCCCTCTCTCGCTGTGTCTTTGTCTGTCAAATAAATGAATAAAATCTTTAAAAAAAAAAATAAATAAAACGCCCATCTGATTTAGCTCAACTGATTTTTAAAAAATTATTATTATTAAGGCAAGTTGTCCAACTTCCTAATGATTCAGAATCATTGCACTTGCGGGCAGGTGGTAAAATGTGTGACAGGGTTCAAGAACCACATTAGGGAACTAGTACCCTAAACCTTAATCTTCCCATTTTATGGATAACATTTTTAGTGTCTGCCCTAAATGAGTAGAAGTGGAATAATTATGAGGAATTTTTTCATACTGGGATTTAAGCTGGTATAGCTTTCAGAATGCGGACTTTCTGAGCATTTTCTGAAATGGAAATTAGCAGGCTTTCTAGAATAATAAATCGCGTGTTTCATGATATTAAAGCTTCAAGTGGGGAGTTCTGAATTTCTTTCTTTCCTTCTTTTTTCCTAGATATGTGTCACAAAGATGTCTACACGGAACTGCCAGGGAATGGATTCAGTGATCAAACCCCTGGACACAATTCCTGAGGATAAAAAAGTCAGGGTTCAGAGGACGCAGAGCACCTTTGACCCATTTGAGAAACCCGCTAATCAAGTAAAGAGGGTGCATTCAGAGAACAATGCTTGCATTAACTTTAAGTCCTCCTCCACTGGCAAAGAGTCTCCAAAAGTTAGGCGGCACTCCAGCCCCAGCTCGGTAGGTGCAGTCTTCTTAACCAGCGGGGAAGCAGAAGGAGTATCCCTCCAACAGTCGTGGCCCGCTGTGCTGAAAGAGGGCAAGTGGCTTTATCAGTGCATTATTATGCACTCTCTCTCAGGGTGGTTTAGTGTTTTGTGGGGGGGCGGGGAGAGCACAATCTATATACAGACTCTTTATTCGTAAGTACCCAGCAAGCAAATGAGAAATGATTCAACTTACTTTTGGAAAAAAAAAAATTTTTTTTCTAGTTGTTTCCAGTTAGAGGATTTATAATTAAACATCCTTTGGTATTTCAAATCCTTGGAAAAGGATATTGAACTTTACTGTTTTTGCGGGCAATATAGTTTTGAGTTCAGTAGATTCACAAAGAATGTTGTTTCAGAGTAAAGGTTCAAATTTATTCACTTGTCCTCTTCCAGTTTGTTTTCAGTGTAAATGTTTTAAATTTAAGAGCTAGATGTTGAAATTGGTCTTCTTAAGGAAAAGTCCTATTCATCATAATGAAATTTTCTTACACTAGATTAAGGCAAGTCTTGCCTTTTGACCTAAGGAGGTGTAAAGTTCTGAGGTAAATGCTGCTTTTTGACTGTAAAATTTTTACTGAAACTTTTATTTCCAAAACCAGCCTTCATTTAACCTTGTAAAAACCCTTATGATCTTTTAAAGTTAAGTAATTTTCAGATTTAACTTACACTTAAGAACCTTTTGAGTAGATGCTCGAAGAGTTTAAAAGGTAAGAGGAGAATGCTAAGATAATTTTGATTCTATCATCCTGCTAAGAAACATGCCATTTTATAAATATTACATTTGATGAGGGCAAAGCAGAGCCAGAAATGTCAACTGCTAGAGGAGTATTGACACTTCAGTTAAACTGTATGACACTGCACATATCTGGTCACATTTTGTGTTAATGAAGCCAAAATAAATATTAGCAATGCAGCATTTATGAGGAGCATTGATTATCTGCTTTTTTTCCAAACTGACCCCATAGTCTTGTCTATGAGTGCAAGGTAGCATCCGTCTAGGTCACAGACACATCACTAACTTCTGGGAGAACTTTTAGATTTAGTAGCATTTTAGAAGAAATGAAAGAAGTTGTTGAGAATGATTAAGCCTATGTTATGGAGAGAGTTATAGACATTTTACTATATAGTTATCATAATATTATTATATATCAGCCTAAAATGATATATAGAAATTGGCATTTTCAGATGTTGCAATGAGGCATACTTGTACTAAAGAATTATTTACCTTTTGTCTGAAATTTAAATTTAGCTGTCATGTATTTTTTCTCAATACTAGTTATAATCTACTGGTGTATTCCTTCTTATGTTGCTCAGATTCTTCCTACTTTAACCATTGGGAGCTCTTTCAGTTTGGCTCCGTGCCTTTTTGAAATGTCTTTGTCCCTCTGTTTTTGGAACATGTCCTTACCTTCTGGTCCTCCAAGACACTTTTGGCTGATGTTGTATTTTTCCCAACCCCAGACCTAAAACCAGCCATTTCTCCAAAGAATCTGAGTTCCTTTTATTGGAGAGTGGTAGTTAGAAACCAAGATGTGGGTGCTGGCTGTGCTTGGCGCTACCAGGGGTCATGTAGATTTAAAAGTCAGCGCGTACATCATAATATAAGTGATAACCATGGAGTTTCCATATTTTTAATATTTAATAAGGAATTAGTTTCAGTTTTTATCAAGGTAAGTTGAGTGTTACCTGATGCTTTTTGTATTTCTCTCTCTCTCTCTTTAAAGTTGCATTTTATCTTTATTAAAGTCATGCTTGAACATAGCTTAACAGATCAAATAGACAAGTCTGGGGGGATGGCAGTGGCCTAGGTTTTGAAACTCAGAACAACTAGTATAGTAAAACCAGAGCCAGGGGATAATATTGGCAACAAATACAGTTGACAAGTATTTCTGTGAACCTCAAAATAGGAGTGAGGAGGGGAACAAACCATGAGCAGTTTTCAGAACTGCATGGTGTTAGGAAGGGTGAGGATGGAAGCTCAGGGAAGGGAAAGGACTCCTCTCTGAAACTCTACTCTCATAGCCCCCCTCCCCCCTCCATTGCCATCAGGTACATACTGGCTGCTTGTTGGGACATTCTTAGGACAGTGGCAGCAACTGGGAGGGACTTTGATGGCTTCTGTGAGTAGGTGAGTGCAAGGAGACGAGGGTGGGTTACTGATACTGGAGTAGTCTACTGGCCTTTCTGTGACTCCTCTAGAACGTCACATTGAAGCCCTGAAGACCTTTCCAGGACGAAACCCTGCCCTGAATGGAAAGTGCGGAAGTAGGCTTCTGTGTAGGTCACATTCAATGGGGGCAAAGGAAATGGATGGTCCAGAAAGAAATGTTGGAGCAAAACAGTTGAGGGAAGATCTCAGTGTGTGTGCTAGTTTGTCTTTATTTTTTAACTTCGTGAAACGGATGAAAGAACTTTATTTTAGGAAGCTAGAAAGGCTATCTTGGCCACACCCCTGCCTTAAACTACTGAATAATTCATTTTACTTAAAATAACCAATAGAAAAATTAGTGGTTGAATCTTATACAAAACCATGAGGAAAAAAAGAAGAGAAAAAGGAGCAGAATAACATCTTTACAGATAATGAAGTCAAGCTAGAAGGAGGTGAAATTATCTTTATTTGCAGATTTTTGATGATGTATCTGGAAAATCCAAAAGAATCAGTGAAAATACTCTAAACAGTGAGAGAAGTTAGCGAAATAGCAGGCTAAAAATTAACATACAAAACCCAAGAGAAACCTTTATAAAAACGAGAATCATTATTGAAAACTGGTAACTAAAGCAAATAACTAAGCATTTATTTTCTGTGATTCCTACATGAAATTGACCTCATGGTAACCTAGTTTTGATGGGGGGGGTGAATTTGTCTTTTAGAAATAATCCCACTGATACATCAAGAAAGAATAATATATTTAGGAATCACAATTTGGTAATCCCTGATGAGGTAATACATGTAGGTAATGATTGTCAGTACCTGCTGACATCACCAAGAGAGATAGCCAGACATTGTGATGTCCTAATGGAAGTTTACGCAAAGCACCTGCAAAATTCAGCCCGAATCTGAGCAGGGCTCTAGATATAATAACCACTGGAACACATCAAGAGAGGATTTTCCCTGTTGTGTTCCTATCCCCAAATATATTTCCCCTACTTTCTGGCTTTTAATATATGGCGTTTGTAATCTTGTGATGCTGTAAATGCTATTCATAGCAAGGCCACATGATATACTATGATTGAATTTCTTTCTCTGAAGAACTTTCTAACATTTATTTTTTTCTTGAAGTATAGTTGACACACAATGTTACATTAATTTTAGGTGTACAACATAGTGATTCAACAACTCTATCCTTTGCATAACTTTCAGATTTTCTTAGTCGTAATTGCTTCCTCTTCATTTATTCATAATTGATATAATGATTTATTATAATTTCAATTACAAATTGAGGTCCCAGATTATTTGGTAAAACTATAAAACTTATTAAACAAATCAGAAATCAGGTAACTTATCAGTTTTTCTCCCCCCTGAGATTGTCCTTGACGTTGTCAATCCTTCTAATCTCCAAGCCTGCTATCCTGAGGCTTCCCTTCACTAGCTTCCTGAGAAGTTTCTTTTCCCTCATTTTTGTGTTAAATGCCTATGCTTTGGGTTATATGTTTTTCTTGTTCTTGGTTTATGTCATTGCACATATGACCGTACCTTTATTCATACTTGGTAACTTGATTAATAATCTGGGTATAGGATTCTAGTTTAGAAAATAAATTTTTTCATAGCCTTTTGAAGACATTGCATTGTTCTTTTCTAGGTCCCTTTATTGTTATTTTAAGCCCTAGACTATTCTGATTCCTAATTCAGTCTTTGTGGAAACTTCTAGAACTTTGTTTTCATCCCTGATGTGGACCTTTTTCTCGGTACTCAGGGAATCTTTTCAATTTTGAAATTAATTTCTTTCAATTTCAGAAAATATTCTTTTATTATTAATTCATTAATTTTCTTTTTGGTTTTCTCTGCTTTATGGATATTTAAAAAAATTTTTTTAATGCTTCAGTTAAATTTTTAATTGATGCTAACATTTATTTCCAAAAGCTCTTTCTTATTCCTCATATGTTCTTTTGAAAATCAATCTGTTCTTTTTCAATGAATAATATATTGTCTCTGTTTTTGAATATGCTAGATGTAGCTTGGGGGAATTTTGAAGAGGCTTTTTTTTTTTACTACCTAAATGATCTCGAGTTTCCTTTGAGTTCTTTGTTTTGGTTTTTGTTTGTTTGTTTGTTTTGGTTTCTGCCTTGCCTGTTGAGATTTTTAATTTTGGTGAGTCTAGATCATGCCTTTGGAAAGAACTCTTGACTGAGTTCATATTATGAATAGTGTACAAAAAAGTTCATAGGAATTTCTTTGTGCCACCAGTGCTTGTCCACTGGGGGAGGCCTCAGCGTAGGGAATATCAGAGAAGACCTAGTCATTTCATAGGAGGACTATCAGATGTCAGTATCAATCCATCTTTTTCCTTGGCTGAGTTGATCCCCCAGAGCAAATTTACCAGTCGATTTTTTAGGATATGAAAGCTTAAATGCTATTTTTCTGAGATGATCAAGAAGGGGCCCAGGGTCTCCCAGTCCTACACAAACTTTCTTCTGCTTTGTTTTCATTCAGTATGACTTTTCATCCTGATTTCCACTGTACTTGGTGTCCCAGTTCTGACCTGTCTGGTTCAACCTCTTCAGAGAATAAGCCTCTGCTGGGGATCACGGTAGGGCATACACCTGTCTGAGAGAGGCAAGTTCCCAGGAAAAGGACCTGTTCCTTAAACCCACTCTGACTAAGCACTTTGCTTTTGGCCTCTCGTTGAAGTTCAGCTTCCAGTTCTTGAGTGTTTCTGGGATTCTGAAGTATGAACTGAGTTCGTTCTTGGTTTACGCCTTTGGTCATCGTCCTTGTCAGCAGCCTCCCATCCATTTGTCTCCCGTCTCCAA